CCTGTCCACTTCATCAAGTCTGATAGGATCCAACTGTTTCAAGATAACTGGATAAAGCATCTCTAACTAACTAGCTGTCAACTAGATCTGTGTCCCTCCTGGTTGGTGAAAGCTAGCAATTATAACATGGTTGGTACCTGAAAAATGTGCAGTATATTCCCAACAAAAATTGAAAACTGACATATACTTTTGGGTGTTTAAAATGCATAATTATTTCTTATATTTTTATCTGAAGTTTTTCCCAAAGAGCAAAAAAGGAGGCATAAATATTCATTTTATTTATTAATTTGATTAGTGGTTAATTTGTTTTGAGTTCTCATTCTTTAAAAGGCATTTTGTGTAAACTAGATAAGGTTATGAGATCCTAAATTCAGATTCCTCTAGTTCAGAATAACAGAGTTGGAAGGGACTTGGAAGTCTTCTAGTCCAACCCCCTGCTCAGGCAAGAAATCCTATAGCATTTCAAACAAATGGTTGTCCAATCTCTTCTTAAAAACTTCCAGTGTTGGAGCATTCATAACCTCTGGAGGCAGGTTGTTCCACTGATTAATTGTTCTAATTGTCAGAAAATTTCTCCTTAGTTCTAGGTTGCTTCTCTCCTTGATTAGTTTCCATCCATTGGCTCTTGCCCTGCTTTCAGGTGCTTTGAAGAATAGGTTGACTCCCTGTTCTTTGTGGCAACCCTCAGATATTGGAGTATTGTTATCCTGTCACCCCTAGTCCTTCTTTCATTAAACTTGATATACCCAATTCCAGCAATCATTTTTTATATGTTTTAGCCTAATCAGCTTTAACCCTAATCATCTTCCTTGCTCTTCTCTGCACTCTTTCTCAACATCTTTTTTACATTCTGGTGACCAAAACTGGATGCAATATTCCAAGTGTGGCCTTACCAAGGCATTATAAAATGGTATTAATGCTTCATGCAATTTTGACTTTATCCTTCTGATAATGCAGGCTAGAACTGTGTTGGCTTTTTTGGCAGCTGTAGCACATATTTAAGTGATTGTCCACTAGGACTCCATGATCCTCTCACAGTTACTATTATTGAGCGAGGTACCAGCTACACTGTACTTGTGCGTTTGGTTTTTCTTACCTAAATGTAGAACCTTACTTTGTTCACCACTGAATTTCATTTTCTTAGATAACGCCCAATGTTCAAGTCTGTCAAGATCCTTCTGTATCTCAAGCCTATCTTCTGGAGTGTTGGCTATTCCTGTCAGCTTGATGTCATCTGCAAATTTGATGAGTTCCCCATCTATCCCCTTATCCAAATCATTGATGAAGATGTTGAAGAACACTGGGCCCAGAACAGAACCTTGGGGTACTCCACTGCATACTTCCCTCCATGTAGGTGCAGTTCCATTGAGGACTACATGTTGAGTACAGTTGGTCAGCCAGTTACGAATCCATCTGGTGGTGATGCTGTCTAACCTACATTTTTCTATCTTATCAAGTAGTAGGCTTTATCAAATGCCTTACTGAAGTCTAAGTAAATTATATCCACAGCATTCCTCTGGTCCACTAATTTTGTCACCTGGTCAAAGAATGCAATAAGATTTGTTTGACATAATCTATTTGTGACAAAACCATGCTGGCTTAATGGGTTATAATATTTTTTAAACAGTAAAGGAAAAATACAAATATATTTTGTTAATTAATTGCAAACAAACTTTGGGGGCAAGAATGTATGCGTGCGTGTATACACGTGTTGTTGTTAATTGCGAAGTCGTGTCTGACCCGTCGCGACCCCATGGACAATGTTCCTCCAGGTCTTCCTGTCCTCTACCATCTTCTGGAGTCCATTTAAATTCACACCTACTGCTTCAGTGACTCCATCCAGCCATCTCATTCTCTGTCGTCCCCTTCTTCTATTGCCCTCAATCTTTCCCAGCATTAGGCCCTTCTCCAGTGAGTCCTTCCTTCTCATTAGGTGGCCAAAGTATTTGAGTTTCAACTTCAGGATCTGGCCTTCTAAAGAGCAGTCGGGGTTGATCTCTTCTAGGACTGACCGGTTTGAACGCCTTGCAGTCCAAGGGACTCGCAGGAGTCTTCTCCAGCACCATAGTTCAAAGGCCTCAATTCTTTGGCGCTCAGCCTTTCTTATGGTCCAACTTTCACAGCCATACATTGCAACTGGGAAAACCATGGCCTGGACTATACGCACTTTTGTTGGCAGGGTGATGTCTCTGCTTTTTAGAATGCTGTCTAGATTTGCCATAGCTTTCCTCCCCAGGAGCAAGCGTCTTTTAATTTCTTGGCTGCAGTCCCCATCTGAGGTGATCTTGGAGCCCAGAAAAATAAAATCTGTCACTACCTCCATTTCTTCCCCATCTATTTGCCAGGAATTGAGAGGGCCGGATGCCATGATTTTGGTTTTCTTAATGTTGAGTTTCAAGCCAACTTTTGCACTCTCCTTCTTCACCCGCATCAAGAGGCTCTTTAGTTCCTCTTCACTTTCTGCCATTAGAGTGGTATCATCTGCATATCTTAGGTTGTTGATATTTCTCCCGGCAATCTTAATTCCAACTTTTGATTCATCTAGCCCTGCCTTTCTCATGATGTGCTCTGCATATAAGTTAAATAGGCAGGGCGACAGTATACAGCCTTGCCGGACTCCTTTTCCAATTTTGAACCAATCAGTGGTTCCGTGTTTGGTTCTCACTGTTGCTTCTTGACCCGCATATAGGTTTCTCAAGAGACAAATGAGATGGTCTGGTACTCCCATCTCTTTAAGGACTTGCCACAATTTGTTGTGATCCACACAATCAAAGGCTTTTGCATAGTCAATGAAGCAGAAGTAGATGTTTTTCTGGAACTCCCTAGCTTTCTCCATGATCCAGCGTATGTTGGCAATTTGATCTCTAGTTCCTCTGCCTCTTCGAAATCCTGCCTGTACTTCTGGTAGTTCTCGATCCACATACTGCTGGAGTCTAGCTTGTAGGATTTTAAGCATAACTTTACTAGCATGTGAAATGAGTGCAATGGTGCGATAGTTTGAACATTCTTTGGCATTGCCTTTCTTTGGAATTGGAATGTAAACTGACCTTTTCCAATCCTGTGGCCACTGTTGAGTTTTCCAAATTTGCTGGCAAATTGAGTGTAGCACTTTTACTGCATCGTCTTTTAAGATTTTGAATAGCTCAGCTGGAATACTGTCACCTCCACTAGCTTTGTTGTTGCTCAGATTTTCTAAGGCCCATTTCACTTCACATTCTAGGATGTCTGGTTCGAGGTCAGTGACCATCTCATTGTGGTTATCTGGGATGTTAAGCTCATTCTTGTATAGTTCTTCTGTGTAGTTTTGCCATCTCTTCTTAATCTCTTCTGCCTCTGTTAGGTCTCTGCCATTTTGGTCCTTTATCATGCCCATCTTTGCATGAAACGTTCCCTTCATATCTCCAATTTTCTTGAAGAGATCTCTGGTCCTCCCTATTCTGTTGTTTTCTTCTATTTCTTTGCACTGTTCATTTAAGAAGGCATTCTTATCTCTTCTAGCTATTCTCTGGAATTCTGCATTCAATTGGGTGTATCTTTCTCTTTCTCCTTTGCCTTTCGCTTCCCTTCTTTCCTCAGCTATTTGCAAAGCTTCCTCAGACAGCCATTTTGCTTTCTTGCATTTCTTTTTCTTTGGGATGGTTTTAGTTGCTACCTCTTGTACAATGTTGCGAACTTCCATCCATAGTTCTTCAGGCACTCTGTCTATCAGATCTAATTCCTTAAATCTATTTGTCACCTCTACTGTATATTCATCAGGAATATGATTTAGTTCATACCTGAGTGGCCTAGTGCTTTTCCCTACTTTTTTCAATTTAAGCCTAAATTTTGCAACGAGAAGCTCATGATCTGAGCCACAGTCAGCTCCTGGTCTTGTTTTTACTGACTGTATAGAGCTTCTCCATCTTTGTCTGCAGAGCACATAGTCAATCTGATTTCTATGTTGACCGTCTGGTGATGTCCATGTGTAGAGCCGTCTCTTGGGTTGTTGGAAAAGAGTGTTTGTTATGACCATCGTATTCTCTTGACAAAATTCTATTAGCCTGTGCCCTGCTTCATTTTGTACTCCAAGGCCAAACTTGCCTGTTATTCCGGTTATCTTTTGGCTTCCTACCTTAGCATTCCAATCCCCCATGATGATAAGGACATCATTTTTTGGTGTTAATTCTATAAGGTGCTGTAGGGCTTCATAGAACTGGTCAATTTCATCCTCTTCAGCACCAGTGGTTGGGGCATAGATTTGGACTACTGTGATATTGAATGGTTTGCCTTGGATTCGAATTGAGATCATTCTGTCATTTTGGGGATTGTATCCCAGTATTGCTTTTCCTATTCTTTTATTGACTATGAAGGCTACTCCATTTCTTCTGAGGGATTCTTGCCCACAGTAGTATACCTGATGGTCATCTGAGTTAAATTCACCCATTCCTATCCATTTTAGTTCGCTGATTCCTAAGATGTCGATGTTCAGTCTTGTCATCTCTTTTTTGACTATGTCTAGCTTGCCTTGATTCATGGATCTTACATTCCAGGTTCCTATGGAGAAAAAATCTTTACAGCATACACGTACAACTGGTAATTATAACTGAAGCAAATTATAACTAGGTTTGTGCTGAAATCCAGTCACATATATCACTTCCAAATAAACCTGCAAAAAAAAATCACAATTGGACCTTCCAAATAAGCAAATAGTGCAATAATATACAAGAAATAAAGTTAGTGGGATTCTGTATAAGGAGCATATCACAAAATCTTACTGGCTACTATTGTATAATCAGTAGTTAGATGTGAAGAAAAGGGAAAAACAAGATATATATGGAATAAACTAACTCTACGTTCAGCTAAAGACCAGTAAAATAGTAGACAGATGACATATATTTTGATCCTCGCTTTTCCTCCAGCTGTCACAAGGTTTGTTTTAAGGCTTAGCTTAAAGTCAGAAGAAAACGGAAAGAATAATCTCAGAGTCGCTAGAAAGAAATGGGAAGAAAAGCTTTCCCAACCTGTTGTTTTAGCTGATGGACCAATCTGTCTTTTTCTCTTTTCAAAGCCATCACTTCTTCCTGCGTTTTCTTTTTCTTTGAAGCAGACAGCTCAAGCAAGGCAATGTTTGCATCTTTTTCACTAATGGCAGCAAGCAATGCTTCCTGTCTGAAAAAGAAAGAAAGAAAGAAAGAAAGAAAGAAAGAAAGAAAGAAAGAAAGAAAGAAAGAAAGAAAGAGAAAGAAAGAAGGAGAAAGAAAAAGTCAAACGTCTGGGCAATTTTTTTTTTTAGAAAAAAGAATGTTTTATAGAACCAAGAAGAAAAACACATTAAGCTTCTTCAATAGAAGTTGAATTTTAGCTTGTATACATGGTACCCTAAATGTATATTTTTGAGGGGTTGATTTTTATGAATATTCTTGTAATCTAATTTGTGACATAATTGGCTAGTTGGATATTTTATAAGTGATTGTGCATGAATACTACTATTTGCATGCATACCTCGTGCATATAGACCTCATGCACTAGTGCTGTGGTGGTGCAGTGGTTAGAATGCAGTACTGTAAGCTAATTCTGCCCACTGCCAGCAGTTGGGCAGTTCGATCCTGACCAGCTCAAGGTTGACTCAGCCTTCCATCTGTCCAAGGTTGGTAAAATGAAGACCCTGATTGTTGGGGGCAATATGCTGACTCTGTAAACTGTTTAGAGAGGGCTAGAAAGCATTATGAAACGGTATATATGTCTAAGTGTTATTGATATATATATATATGGAAAGTGGTATAAATTAAGACCATCTCTGCAAAACCATATCCAGATTTTCTTGGAACAGCAGAATTCAAGCTAAACTAATGTTCAATTAGTATATCACCCTGATCTAATAAAGAATCTAAGGCACTCAGTTTGAGTCTTGCTACTTTCCATACTACTTCCAAACCCTACAGCATACCTCAAGTTGCTTAGGCAGCCACTTATCTGTTTTTTATTGTTAAAATATGATTTTTAAAGTTTGTTTTTTACAAGTTTAACTATAAACTTTCTCATCCATCCCTTAGTTGCAAGTTTTACCATTTTACATCGGGTGATTACACTTATTTTACAATGGTACTCATCAACTGTGTGTAAAGCATGATCAACAAGATGTGAACTCTGCCAGCTTTTCCAATAGTTTTCATGATTCAGTACAATTCTGGGGTAACTGACTGAATTACAGTTAGTCTTCATAAATCACTTCAACAAGGAACTCACTGAGGATTGACGACAAAAAAGTGTGTTTCAAGAAAGTTTGGTTCCAATTCATTGTTGCCGATCCCCCAAACCATGAGTAATTGTAGCTATGATGAAAATAAAACTTATCATGGTTTTTTGAAGGTACCATATATGCCAGCGTATAAGGCGACTTCCGCAAGCGTTAAAATCGGCACCAAAGACGGGGGTCGTCTTATATGCCGGGTCGTCTTATATGCCAGAAATACTGGTAGTTTCCGGCATATAAGACGACATTCTAGGAATGCGACTCGGCGACAAAGATGGGGGTCGTCTTATACGCTGGGTCGCCTTGTACGCCGGCATATACAGTAACCAGATTTCTTTTTTGTAACAATCTTTTTTTATTATTTTTTTTTCCGTCAACATATGTTAATTTTTCCAATCAAACAAGTTGTCTGGTGTTTGCTAAGCTAATACATGTTCACTTCCTAATCCTTCATTCTTTTCTCTAACCAAGAATAGAATAAATTCCAAATTTTATAATAGTCTGTATCTTCTTTGTCTTTCAGCCTCATAGTTAGTCTGTCCATCTCTGCACATTCCAATATTTTCGTGATTATTTCTTCTTCTGATGGCAATCCTTCATTTTTACAGTACTGTGCAAAAATTATTCTTGCTGCTGTGGTAATATGTAAAATTAAATATAATTTCTGCTCATTAATCTTGTCAGACATAATGCCTAGTAAAAAAAGTTCAGGGGTAACCAGATTTCTTCAGACATTGCCCACATATTCAGAAAAAATATTAAAATTCAATGTGACAAAGTTTGTGTGTGTGTGATGTATGCATCCATGCATGTGTTTATCATATTGGGTTCTATTTTATAAATTCATGGTTCAAATAGTTAAACACAATACACCCAAACAGTTTAGTCAATATAATTATAACATAGTTTATAGCTTTTACAGGGAAGCCTACACTAGCTTTAGATAAATATGAAGACTTTGTAGACAGTCATCTGGTCAAAATTTAGAAAATGTGTGGATTCAGCTCTATGAAAACCTGGAAGTACCAAGAGCAGTGATAGAAAAAGCAAGTTTGTGATGAGATTTTAAAGAATATTTAAAAGAATCATTCATTTCTACTGGTTTAGGAAAAAATTGTGAAATGGTCGTGAAACCACTATAAAGACATAGCAATAAAGTCTCAAGATAATTTTTTCTATCTCCTGTCAAACACAAAATGTATGCCTTTTATTAGAGCCATTAAAGGGATTTTGGTCCCAAACCAGGATGAAAGATGTCTAAACATTATTGCAAACATTTGATGTAATTTAGAACTATCTGGAGCTGTGAAACAACCACATGCTCTTGATATTAGTCCCCAAGCAATGAATGCACACATATTCACATTGCTGTCACCTAAAAGAAACAGAACATGGGAAATAATATATTTATAGGTAATTATAAATATGTTGTAGTAGTAGTAGTAGTAGTAATAGTAATAATAATAATAATTATAATAATAATAAGCTGCAGAACTACTGGAAGAAAAGGTGTTTACCCGTCGCAGATACACAGTGATGGAAAACAAAGAAATAATGATCTGTTACTACAGATCAAGTCCAACAAGAAGAGGATATCTAAAACGAATGCACCAGTTCTGGAAAGAACAACATCCAGAATCAGAAATAACAGAACAGAGACTAGCAGATCAATGCCGATTTATAACACGAAATAAAGTATTCACAGAAACAGAATTGGACGAACTGCAAAGGTTTACCCAGGGCAAAGAAATCAAAGCCTTACCAGAAGTAATTCAGAATGTAGAGGCAAACCAGGGGGAGTTGGCAGTGAAGGAATCCAGCAGAGATATACAACTGTTCTCATTTGGAAACCAGGCACCTCTTCCTCAGGAAGAACAAAACCCTCTAACTAAAGAAATAAAAGAATTGAAACAAAGAATAACTGAGCATCTAGAACAGCACAAAAACAACAGAATAAGGCTACCTGCATTGAAGCTTGTTCCAAAGAAACAGCTAGCACAAGCATTAAAAGATGCAAATACTGCAATATCAAGTATAAGCACCAATTCACTGCAAGAAACAAACCAACTAATGTACAGCACAGCTGCAGTTATAACAGAATACCTGGGATGCAAAATCAACAAAGAAGAAAAACAAACAAACAGTGCACCAGAAAAATGGAAGGTTAGACTAGAAAATAAGATCAGCAAGTTAAGATCACATGCAAGCAAGCTAGAACAGATGAAAGAAAAGAAGCTGAAGAACAAGAAGACCAAAGAATACCTAATCAAGAAATACCACTTAGAAACAAGGAAGATCAAGGAAGCACTGGAAATAATAAAGCAACAAATAACAGCTATAGCCAGGAAAATCAGTAGATATGAAGCTCGAATTGCAAACTATAGGCAGAACCTCCAATTTCAATCCAATCAGAAACATTTCTACCAATCCATCAATGGAGAAACTGCAAGGAATCAGTCAGTACCTGACAAGGAAGAAACAGTGCAGTTCTGGAAGCAGATATGGGATAACCCAAAGAAATACAACAAGGATGCGGCTTGGTTAAAAGAGGTGGATGCAAATAAAACAGAAGTTGAAATGAAAGAACTAGTAATAACAACAAAAATGGTAGAAAAAAGAGCAAAGAAAATCAAAAATTGGTCAGCACCAGGTGAAGATGAACTGCATGGGTTTTGGTTGAAACATCTAACTGTTATACACCCACTCATTGCCAAGCAGTTCAACAATATACTACAAGGAGGAGAAATTGAAAAGTGGCTAACAACTGGGAAAACCTACCTAATAATGAAAAATCCAGCAAAAGGGGCAACACCAGGTAACTACAGGCCAATTACCTGCTTACCAACAACTTTCAAATTACTAACTGGTGTGGTAGCTGATGCAGTACAACAGCATCTAGTTGAAAACAATCTCTTTCCACCTGAGCAGAAAGGAAACCGCCCCAATAGCAGAGGAACAAAAGATCAACTCCTAATAGACAAAATGATCTTGGAAAACTGCAAGAGAAGGAAGACCAACCTGAATGTGGCATGGATTGACTACAAAAAGGCATTTGACTCTCTGCCACATGATTGGATAATAAAGTGCCTAGAAATAACAGGAGTCAGTAGAAACATCAGAAAATTTGTGCAAAGATCGATGGCACAATGGAAGACACAGTTGCAGATCAATGGTGAGAGGCTGGGAGAGGTTAATATCAAGAGAGGAATATTTCAAGGAGATTCATTATCACCATTACTATTTGTTATTGCACTGTTTCCTCTGTCAACAATACTGAATAACTCAGGACATGGCTATCAAACATCAAAAACATCTGCCAGACTATCCCACCTCCTTTATATGGATGATCTGAAGCTGTATGGAAAAACATCATCTGAAATAGAATCGCTGCTCAACACTGTCCGTATATATAGCCAAGATATTGTAATGGAGTTTGGCTTGGACAAATGTGCCACACTTACTATCAAACAAGGAAAAATAATGAAAACTGAAGGAATCAAGATGCCCCACGAAAATAACATTAAGAGTCTGGATGAGGAAGAGTACTACAAATACTTGGGTATCCTTCAAGCTGACAACATCAAGCACACTGAAGTCAAGAAAAAGATTAGAGGTGAATACATCAAGAGAGTGAAGAAGATCTTAAAATCCAAACTCAATGGAGGAAATACCATAAAGGCAATCAACACCTGGGCAATCCCAGTCATTAGGTACACAGCTGGAATAGTGGACTGGACTCAAGCAGAACTAAAAGCAATGGATAGGCAGACCAGAAAAATAATGACAATGAATCATGCCCTTCATCCACGCAGTGACATTGATAGACTTTATCTACCAAGGCAAATAGGTGGGCGTGGAATGCTACAAGTACATCAGATGGTTGAAGAAGAAAAAATGGCTTTGGAAGAATATCTGA